AGGAATGAAACAAAAAAAGTTTGGATTCTGAGACAAACTGGATTAATTAATGAAACATAGAACTAAATACAATTAAAACTATTTTTACATGTATTCCATTGCAAAATGTTCAGTTCAAAGAAGTTTTAAAATGCATTCTAAAGCAGAATGTCATATTCAAAGAGTACACCCATTGTTTCTTGAGTAGAGGAGCTTTGGCAACGACTCAATTTCAAATGAAGGAGTCAAAATCAACCAACTTCTACTCCCAAGTGTGAATCGAAGCCAGTTGGTTCCACCATACTAAGGAAATCAGTCACATTTTTCAGAATGACTCAGGAAAGGGAACTTCAGGAGTTAAAATCCAAAACAGTTCCTGGGAGAGCATGGCCCTGGATCCCTTTAGAAGTTTGCAGATTTTATTCATGGCTTTTGGGGAGAACAAAAGTGCAATGTTTTGTAATTTTTTAGCAAAGTTACCATGGTCAAATAAAGTTTTCTATCTATCCATCTGTCTATTTGGTGCTCATTGTTTCTGAAAACCATCACATTTTATTCTAGATCCATGACTGACTTCATATTGAGTCAACAGTTACACATCAAAAGTTTGTGTCGTAGCAAACAATTACACACATAGGCCTCCAGTCTAGACAGGTCAGTGACTGCAGTCACTACTGACTTTACAATGATACTGGTGTCTGGAATGTTTCCAAAATGAACACAACAGTTTTTCACGAAATCAAATACGAATACAGCAGTTATATGATGAACCACTGCAGGGTTTTCAGACTTATAACTGTTTTTTGTCTGGATAATCGAACCTTGCCTTGCCACAGTCTGCATAGCGCTGTAAGAAATTTGGCCACGGTCATTGCTAACGAGACTAGTTGGTCAGAACACAGTTGTATGTCTTCAACAGTGCTTAGCGTGCTAATTGCCAGTTCAGTTCATTGGTGTTCCCTATGAAAAATGACAAAGTACTTTTTGGCATAAAGCACCTGTAAGAGACATACAACAAGTGAATAAAGGAGCCATTTACATGTATGTGTTCTTAGCTGTTGCCTTTCATCTGTTTTGGCTATCGATATTCTGAATGGCTAAATCAACAAATATTAGAAAACAAAGCCTGCGAAACTGACTTAGTGAGTGGAACATAAATTCAGCCCCATTTACTGTCAAATGATTGTTTTTCTCCTCTGCTTTATGATGTGGAACTGGCATTTGGCTGTTAAATCAGCACACTGCAGCCCCACTCCCCCCCAAAACAAACAAGTTCCACACTTAAAAGGTATTGAATAACCTACATGTGTGTAATGTTGGAGTTCTGTCCTACCCTAGAGAATGATGCAGTGGACATCTAAATACACCAGTTTGCTGTTGAACATTTCAAAATATGAAGTCTGCTGCTGTTTTCTTCTTTCCTGCACTGTTACAATTTCAACACAAGTCTTGTACCTCCCTTTTCCCTTATTTTCTCTAAATGTATATTTTTTCCCTTAGACATTGTAACATATGTTGCTGTTTCAGTGTCCTGGCCACTCCTCAGAATTAACCTGCATTAATTCTGCACTGCTGTAATTTCGACATGAATTATGTACCTACCTTTCACTTTATTTTCTCTAGACATATCTTTTTCGCTTGGACTTATGTCACTGTTTTAATCTCATGCCACTCAGCAGAATTAACCTGAATTGATTCTGCACTGCTGCAATTTCAACACAAATCTTGTGCCTCCCTTTCACCTTATTTTCTCTTGACATATCTGTATCTCTCAGAGACACATGTCTCGATGACACTGTTTCAATGTCATGCCTGTTGTCACAATTCACTCGAGATGGGTTTCCAGTATGAGTAACAATCGCACAGATGTTCAATATTAAAGTGATTTTGGTTATAAAATGGCTGAGGTGTAGAGAAACAAGTTCCTTGAAATTATTTTATTGCTGTCACCACCTTCCTGAAGCTCAAAACTCAATCAGCAATCTGTGCTAAGCAAGAATTTCAATGTTTGACCATAAGTACAGATAACAGGTGAAGTTGTATGACTGCCTGTCAGCATATTTTTCTTGTAAGCATCTGGGTAAATTCAAGATGACAACTTCTTTGGCTCAAATACTACAACCGTTCAAGCCTCCCCTTAGTTACTAAATGTTGGTAGTGGGCAAATAAATGTGACCATAAATTTCCAAAAGCACATAAACCAGGTTAAACCATGAACAAAGTACAGGCAGCTAGGTTTCGTCTTAGCAAACTAGTAGTGACACACCCACAGGACAAGGAGATATGCTACAGTCTAATGCAAGTGGAACTTCACAATTCCTTGTTCAACAGGTCAGGCTAGGATCATGACACTTGATGATAAGAGCTGTAATGCCTTATAAAGTATCTAGATAGCATGTAGCTGTGTCCTTGTTGGTCACCATTACCGCTGGAGTTTTCTTTGCAAGTTATTAATAACTACCATTATGAGTGAAAGAAGGGATAGGTCATCACTTAGTGTACTTATCTGGAATCAATAACCACTTGGCAGATCTATTTATGAACACATGGATACTGATTGAAGAGAGATAAAAGATGTTTCACATTTTTGCACTTGTTATTAAGCTGGAAATATTCACTGGCTGGATTTCCGGTCTACTGGAGATGTCAAATATTTGGAGGGCATTGCACGAAAAATTGCCTCAAGTAAATGAACATGGCTAGTAATAGTTCTGTTGTAGCAAGCATTGCTCAAAACAGAATTAAATTTTTAGTGCTTTTTGCAGCATTGCATCAATACTACAACAAATGTTTTTTGTGTTACTGCAGCTATCCGTTAACAGTAACAGAACAAAACTTTAAAACATATTCAGTGAGATAGTGCCAAGCGTAACAACGCCTTCATTGTTTCACTTTTTTCCTTTAGGAATGACTATTAAAACTACCTTAAAATGTAATATCTTTCTTTAGATCTCTCCTATGATGACCGAGACATATTGAGAAACCTTCAGTTTCAAAATTTATTACAGTTATTCCTCCACGGAAATTACCTCAAACACCTTTGGAGATGCATTGTAGTATATTCTTGACAGGCAGAGTTGAAAGTTTCTTTGTTGCTGCAGCGTAAAGTTTATGTGTCATTTTGTAAGACCCTGAGGCTTGACTATTAACAGTGCATATTTTGCTAACAATTGGAAAACAAGCACTTGCACTCTTGTTCTGTGAATTCAACTACATCGATTTTCACAAGCAACTGTTTGAAAGTTTCTTAGTATTGTCCCTTGTACTTGAGGCATTCGCTTTTCTTCTCATTTCACAATTAACAGCAAATTGTCACCATTTTGATTTTGTCAAAAACACCTTCACAAAGCCTATTCAGACCACGGGTAAACCTCCACTAAGTACTATGCTATTGATTTTCAGAAAACAGTAGTTCTCACTAAATATAGATTTTGGTTTCCAGCCAATTTAAATGAATTCAGTAGCAAACACAAAAGTAGGTAGATAACTATTTTGTGAATTTACATTCATTTTCAAGAGATAAAAATTGTTGTCAAGTGTATGGCACCCTGAAAACTTGCCCACACTCTACAGGATAGTTTTCTGCCCCAATCAGGGTAATAAGACTCGATGCATTTCGTACATTGATCTTAATACGATTTAATTTTAGCAAAAAGAGTTAACAATGCTTATTGCCAAATACCGGATCACGTCGAAGGAAGTCCTGCCAATTCGATTTAAGCCTTGAAAGCCCGCACCTGAACAAAATTTCGCCCAGATCAATCAGGTTTTCACTACTGGGCTGAGAAATACGCTTAAAAATAACATCAAATCGTTACAAACAGTTTAAATGTAAACAATGTGCCGTATTCAAGCGAATGTTTCCAACGATAACAAGGGACCGCAGCGAGTGCACCACTCGCCGCAAAATGTACGGAATGTTTGTAGATAGCTCAGGCCCAGCCGAAAACTGGCAGCAATGTGACCTCAGCGGCACAGCAAAGAACTGCTCTCAAGGTCTTTGCACAACAGGTGGAACTCGCTAAAAGCTAGTAGCGGCGATAGATTTACTATCATAGGCCCGGGATCATAGGTCTACAGAGAAACAACTGCACAGGAAATGTGCCAAGCTGCTGTCGCTACGACATCTGACCACATTTCCGTATACGAAGAAGTCACAGAGGTTAACTCTTTCCGTCACATATATCACCGGTATCTTGTTATTACTAGAAGGGAATCGTTTACGCTTTTCCCGGCTACCTTGTTTAAAAAGAAACAGTTATTATTATTACGAACAAATCGCGGTCTCCGAGAAACAAGAATACCGAATGTTCTCGACCAAAAACCAGGAAAACAATTACGATGATTCGCACCTCGCGCACAGACAATAGTTTTGGCTCTCCTCCGGAGTTGATACGCAAAATTGAACAAAAACAAAATTTAGAAGATAATTTGGTTTCTTCAATAAAACAATTATGCGTTGAAATTGATTCTGTTCAACTAAGGTTAATTTTGGGGTCACAGTCCTACAGATCACGGCGAACGATTTCGCATTGTGTTATTTACAACAAAGATAACAACAAATATAATTGCATTTGACGCAAGAACGCGGCAAGATCGCGGCAAGATCGTACGAAATCGCTGGGATATAATACCAGCTTCCAATTAAATAACCACAGCAACATTCGTACAACATGAATTCCGCCTCGGTTAGAGTACTGCTTACAATATCTCAACAGGAAAATCCTGTCATGAGAAACAAAAGATCTGTGAAAACTTGCCAGCGAAATGTGATTGTCAACTGATACTCAATTCACATTAAATTCAATAGCACGACACGTAAGGACGTACAGTAATGGTGATTCTCACCGTACTATTCTTAGCTGAGCGAAGGCCTTCCAGAAAGAAAACGAAATAGTTAACAGCGAAAACAATTAAAGCTGATTACCATGACTCATCAGGCGAAATCAAGTGCGACAAAAATCGCGGTCGAATAAAGAGAGCGTATTCAGTAAACTGAAACCTAGTAAACTCCTGCTTACCTCTCCGTTGTACGAGTACTTTGCCTTCATAATAGCGTTGTACATTCGTGTTCGATTCTCATCCAAAAAGGGCATTTCTCCGCTAAGAAGAATGTGCGTGATAACACCGATTGCCCACATGTCCACTGCATTAGTGTACGATTGCCTCTTGAGAATTTCTGGGGCAATGTACTCGGGTGTTCCGCAAGTTGTATCCATTGTCTCGCTATCCGTGTCCTGCCGAGTGTTGGAGAGTCCAAAGTCAGTGATCATGATCCTGGAATCGATTCCAGGGTGATAATATAGCAAATTTTCAGGCTTAAGATCACGGTGAGTTATTCCAAGGGAGTGAAGATAACGAACCCCTTCTAAAACCATGTACAGGACTCGTGTAGCATCGCGCTCAGTGAAAGATCCCCTGCCTACGATGCGATCGAAGAGTTCACCGCCCGTAGCGAGCTCCATGACCAGATAAACTCTTTCTGAACACTCATACACTTCGTAGAGTTGAACGATGAATTCGTGCTTCACTTTCCTTAAGACAGCAACTTCGGATTCAAACACGTCTTTGCCTCCTCGAACCTTTATCAACTTGATTGCATACGGTTGTTTGGTTTGCTTGTGTTGCACACGGACAACTCGACTGAATGATCCCCTGCCAATCAGGGCTTTGATTTCGTACTTCTCAGTCACAACTGGATCAAAACTGAGTTTTCCTTCACAAACACGGCCTTTCTTTGGCTTCTTTTCAGAGGTCTTTCCCTCATTGTTCACAGCTTCTTTACGCCACACTTCACGTGTTGTCTTCCCTTCATCGGGAGTCCATTCATCAGGTAACTTTTTCGTCTTTATGCAATCCTCGTCGGCGAGTTTCTTGCTCTGGCTGCAGCCCATCCTTACTTTACAATTCTCTTTAACCTGACAACGCACAACTGTATCGTACAAGGCATAACAATGACGGTGAGGAGAAACTCGAGCACGATAAGCTTGACCGCTTGACCAGCAACACAAACCTCGCTATGTTTATACAGCCAGAAACGTGCCATGCGTCACAGCAAGCGCGCGCAATCGCGCGTACTGCGCGCGAGGCCAATCGAACTGAAATCAATCCCCTGGGACCAATCAAATGCGGCATAGAGTATGACTTTAGTCAATCAAATTGAATCAGTCGCTTGGGAATTCTCCGGACAACCAATCAAGCTTCAGAAAATCTTGTCTAAACAGTGACCCCCGGAATCCACAGCCGAACGAAAACAAACACCGTTCAACAGACCTCACACTAAGCATATCTCTTTTTCCCGTCAATTGAAAGCCGTAAAATCATCTCAGATATACTCAACGTAGTTCGCTTTACACGTTACTTGAATGCAACACAAAGCGAAGAAAAGGTTTATCTTGTTACCATGTCAAGATTTGACAATGACCTGGCTTGTATTTGGCTTTAATGTGACAATTTTAATAGTTCGCCGCGTTTCCCTTTGTGTTAGCCGCTCACTCATTTACGTACGTTGTTGTGAATTGTGATACGGCATGTCCGTTCGCCCGGCTAACCGCATGCGTAATGTTTGCATTAAGTGTTTGTTTTGTCTCTCTTCGAGCGAAGAAACCATATTTGTCAATGCCCTGATTTCCTGAAATGCGGGACAGCTACAAGGACTTTTCCCGGATTAATGGGGTCTTGGGAATGTCAATTTTTCGTGCAAAAATAGCTCCTCTACCAGTGTCAGGTGATAATTCTTTGCTGTGTGTTCTAAAAATTCCAGCCATCCTAGAACCGGATGGGACCATTTCAGTAACACAGGCTTACTGTACTACGGTATACATAAGAAGATTTACCAGTAGCCCACCTGCAGGAGAATGGAGGAGTTAGAAATTCTGTTGGCATCGCCCGAGAACAAATGATCAAAGGATTACTTTTTAACTTTTTTTTTACTAACCTTATCTTTTTTATTTTATTTTTTTTTCTGTATTTATTATTATTTTTGTATGGATTAGAAAATTTCCCTTTGAGTACATGCAAGCGAACATCAAGCCTGTAGTGTTCAGTCTCTATTTGTGGCAAAACCTGAAACTTCTCGTGCAGCCTCGATTTTTACGAGTTCTTCAGTTGTCCGGTCCGTTTATCAACTCTGGAAAGATTGGAACGTACTTCCCGAGAAAAACAATTTCTCGTGTCGCTCAGGCGGGGGGATAATGGGGTGATTGAAGGCTTGATAACTGTATATACGTGGACCGTTATCTCTGGCTGCTCCCAAATTCATTACTCTTAGAAATAATCCAGTCGTTTAAACCCAAAGGACTGAATTACGCTGTTTATAACACGCGCGAAAAGCATCCGCCTGCTTTTACGGAAGGTGCTGTGCCACTGTCTGTCGGGTGGCGCGGCATGTGCTCTCTGAGGTTCCGTACTGTATTAAAAGACACAGCAACCGTGACTTAAACTCTAGAAAATTCAAATAGATAAAAAATTCTCCAGTTTAGAAAAGACCCGCTTTAGGGGTTTTCCATATTACACTCGCAGACTGCTGTATGGTGGAGTCCGTTGTAAAGCCGCAAACGTAACTGGTGTTATAAGCTGGTACTGTATTTACAGGTAGACACTTGACCTTCATTTTACGTTCATGTATTCATCATTTACTGACTCCGTTCAAAATCTTTTCGTTGAGACGTGACTCAACACGGTCAGTAGAAAATTTGACAATTTATGAATTCTCTTCTCGTGGTTTCTTCCATGAAGTGAGGTACGGTATTTCTTCTGAAGGGTCGTAAAGAAAAGCAATCAAGCATGACTTGGGGAGCGCTGCCGGAGGAAGCGAGAAAAACACCTTAGCCTTGCACTCCACTCACTTCGTTTGTTAGGTGCTTTGTTGAGTTGTTCATCTTAGGAAATAAAGAGACTAGCCTGCTACTTTAGATAAAAGAAAAATGCTCAAGTTTTCCTCGTTTATTACCGAATCATCAAAACTCCTCGACCCCACGTTGACGAACACGCGCAAGACGAGGGACCACGCGTGACGGGCTGCCATTCGCGTGGCATTTGTCGTATGTTTTGGTTACGTTTGGCGTAAAGCTATGACACCCTTATTTTCTTGAGAGCCTGCCAATGTTATTTTAATAAAAAAAAAACTTAAGCGGGAGCCATACGTTGAAAGCACGAACTTGATCAGGAAATTTCGCGTAAAGTGAAAATTAAAGCGTGAATTCTTCCATCGAATAGCAACACGCGCGCACAGGCACTGAAGACGTAACCGTACCGCTATCGATTCAAAAACCTTTTGGAATCCCAGTAATTGCTATTGGAAGCAGTCATAACCTTAGCCGCGCATGAAACCTCATCTGCTCTAAGTTAATTGTCCATTCTGTGAATAGAGAGAGATTCACGTTATTGATAAAGTTCGAGAAATACACCTGTTCCTCCATCAAAGGGTAACGTTCCCTGTTTATGTGCGGTAACCGGTCTCTAACTGCCATTTACAAGCTTAGTTTACGACTCCCACACGGAGCTTCCGCCAAAACAAAGGTAGCGGTTTGTTACAGAAACTGACGAGTTTCGCCTGTTTTGACGGTTTCTAGTGGTTTGCTTATGTTTTGCCTACTAGATCCAAAACGAAATCGCGAGTTCCCACACGAGGGGTCGTGGAAATACAATGGCACAGCTCACAGTTGAACGCCGAGTTTGAAACGTCCTTGAACTGACTTTCATGCGGCTGGATTGTCCGGCCAAGCTTTTTTTAAACTAAAAAAATCTAAATGTCACCGGAAACTATTAATTTAAATACATAAAAGGTTAGATGTTACTTGGCTATCGTTTTCAAGCTTTCAAAATAAGGCTTACTGCACGAAAGGGCGAAAACCGTATTTATCCCTCTACAACTGCTTTCCTTGCAACAGATTGAAAAATCACTGGACTTTGAAATCAACCAGACCTTTTTCGCGCTGTAATCATGGTGCTAAAGAAACGTGCGAAACGTCGCTCGTAGCATGAACAAGACTCAGTCGATTGGAACCTGCAGAAAGGTCATAGAGGGGTGGTCCAGTTTTCTAATCGGATATCAAGGTGTTCGATCTTGTGATATGGGACAGAACACATCCGGTAAGACACCACGGATAACTGATAACTAAATTGTTCCCCCATTTCTGTTTTCAATTGTGGATTCGAACTATGGCTGGTCAGCCTAAACAATCTTGTAAAAAACAAATTGGCCTAAACGTAAATACAATAAGACTTTGAACGCTTCATGGGAAATTAGCACTATTAACTGTTGTTTTATCTTACGAGGAATATTTGGTTAGCATGGATTTTCAGACACAAGTACTTCCGTAGCAAAACATTGTAAATTTCAAACATTTTCTGCTCCTTTCCGGGATACCGCGGGGAGACAAGTGTGTATGTTCCTTTTTTCTCCAATTAAGTAACAATTTAACAACTCGGAAATAAACAGAAAAGTACATATACTAATATTTTGGTATTTGATATTCTCTGCCCGGATGGATTTCCACGCAAGAGGGGCACTGCCTCTAATTCTCTGTTGGTATGGGCCCGTCCACATTCTAAAAAGCGGGAGAAAACTTGATAAAAAGTGGACTTTCTTGGGAACATTACAAAAGTACTTTGATCTCAACCTTAATCGTTAGAGTAACGTGTAATCCTCTGTTTATGTTTGCTGACGCTTTTTTCGCTCTTTGAAAGAACCCAAACACGTTTTCAGTCCGTTTTGATTCTGACACACCTTGTGTAAAACAGTCGAGCTCTCTCAGAAATTATAAACAAGCATTAGACTGTTGTCTAGTAAGATAATTGTCAGACGAGAAGTCAGGAGAAGTGAAAAAGGCGAGCTGGAGAAATGCGCAGTTTCGGTTTTCGAATTTCAGTATAGGGAAAGCAACTTGGACTGCATCATAGTCGTTTGTCATTTGTAAGGACAGCAGAAGTTTCCACTGCAGTTTTAATACTCCGTGCCAAGACTTAGTCCCGTGCTCTTTCCTCTTTCACCTACTCACCTGAGGAAGGGAGCAGGGGGGGGGGGGCTTGGGAGAGAGACTCAGTCATAAAAATGACGGGAGTGCTTGTTACACCTCTTATAATTTAGGAGAGGTGAGATTTGTGGATAGGCGCAGCACATATCGTTCAGAAATCTCGTCCAGAACCAGGTAAATATTAGAAATGGTACCTCCTTAGAGCTAAAAAATATTGTGCCCCTTTTTCTCTACAGGGGAGTTCCCCCCCCCCCCGGGTACATACGTGCTGGTATCCCGCGCTAGGTTTTTACACACCTGTATACGAGCACACGTAGGTGGGCTTTATCTGTTGAACAGTCTTTATTATTGTAGGACCAATCATGATCGACCTTTCTGTTTTTGTTGTATTTGACCGGGCAGCTCTAAGCCATTCCATGACTCAAACACTATATATATACTCAACAATATTGGAAGCATGTAAAAGAGGAACTTATTAGCATCGATACTTCACAACGTTAAGTCATTAAATGAGATCTAGAACACTTCATTTTCCACCTCCTAGTTTGGCAAATTTAGAAAAGGAAAAGGAAAGCTTAAATGTAGGCTGGCCGCTCACTTGTTGCAGTGTGTATGGGCTGGACACTCGGGCTAAAGAATATAGCTCGATCACTGCATGTTACTTTGAGTGCTTGCGTCAAAGTTCATGTTTCTAAGTCACGTTTGTACCGTGAGAAGTAGGCTTGGTCTTGCAATTTACTTTTCGCTAACATCATTCTGTATTAATTCCTTTCTTCTCTGTCAGTTAGGTGTGCCATTGTATTCTACAAACTGGGCTTATGTGTCCCAGTAAAATTCTTCTCTGTTGCATGAGCCAAAAGACATTACACACTATTAGGTCCTTACTTATGAGTCAGTATATTTCTTGGCTATTCAAGCCGAGAAGTATTGTTGGGAATTTTCTCTTCGGGACGCCTTAAAAGCTGTTGGTTGCCAGTGGATTCCGGTACAAACTCGCCTGCTTATTGAATCTGGGTGGGAACGTTTCGGATGTGATCGTGCTAGCCACTAGATTTGGCAAGTAGTCAACCATTGAAGTATATCACGAGTTTGTCGCGTGATATATCTATATTGTACCATAACATGGTGGGCTGTTCCATTTTAACGTCTGGCGGTTTTTTTCTCCAGCCCACTTGACTCTTGTTCAGTTCGCTTTATTTGTTTTTCCTCCTGTCTTTTTTTTTTTTCAATTTTCCTCTCGACTGACAGGGTTTCTAATAATCGCAGCAGATTGCGTGTTGTTTGTAACCCTGCGGTGGCGTCGGTCAGGTACCGCTGATAGAAAAGAACATTTGCTGTGGCGCTCATATCCTCTTCTATAGGATATGAACGTGGGAGTAACAAAGAAAACAGCGACGCGGCTAGGATCGGGAATAACCGGTTTGGCATCGGACACAGTTGGCCAGTCACCATCATCCTCATCGTGTGAAGCTGGTGTTGGCAGCTAGTCAGAAATAATTAGTTTTGGGATTCAATCTTGATTTTTCTCACACTCTTGTGCCGCTCACTTTGGACACTTTGATTCTCCGGTAATGAAATTTCTGTGATGAAGTTACTTCAGAAGACATTTGTTACGAAGAAGACACTATTTAATACTACTGTTCCTAATTATGGAAAGCATTTAAGCATACTGGGTTCCTCGATAGGGGACCGGTTGAAGTTGGCGGTCGACCAGTGGTCGAGTAGAACCTTTGTACGCGCCATGTTACCTAATGTCCCTAATGCTGTCCCAAACATGAAACACGAGTGACTCCGATATTCTAAGTTCTCTTTAGTTAGTGTACACAGAACCTTCACTGTATTGAATAAAACATTAAAAAGAATACTGTTGCCAAAAATATTGATACTTATGTCGAGTGACTTTGGAAATTGCACCCTACCAGAATTAGTCATAATATGTATAATAGCAGAAAAATAGGACTCCGTGATTGGTTGAAAAGAAACACAATGGCCTCCGGCACATCCAGAATGACCTGATGTATGTATGCAACCAGAGCCAAGCGTGGGAAAGCATACAACCAGAGCTAAGCGCGGGAAAGCATGCAACCAGAGCTAAGCGCGGGAAAACATGCTACCAGATCCAAGCGTAACAAGCATATCGAGTCAGGAACAAATGCATACGACCTGAACCGTAGTTTACACAAACTAAGGCAACTTTTCTAGCTTTAAACTCTATATCTACATGTAACTGTTTTTACAAACTAGAGCGAGTAGAATACGTGACCTAAAGATTCTCGTACTGAACCAATAGTAAGAATGGGCGAATGAGGACCAATATCAATTTGGCGGGGATAAATGTGGCAGTCGATGGTAAACAAGAAAACTTGTAGTCGCACCCGACTGTAAAGGTGTGTATTGTTTTCAACATATAATCAACATTTTGCGAAAAACCCTTAACAAATACCACATACACTAACGGTTTTACAAAATGTGGCGAGAAATAGGGGCATGTTTATTTGATTACACTGACACTGGATAAAAGATAAAACTCGTAGAAACAGTTTGTTTCATTGTCACAGGCTTGATAAAAATACAAGTGTGGAAGATGCCTTCCTGGTGGCAATAAGACACTAACAGTAAAACACTCCTATGTAAGCGATAAAATGTTGGGAGAAATTGTTTTAACGTACAGTAATTTCGGCCTCTCTGAGCTTGATATGTATAAAATTACGGATACTTTACACAGCTGCACTGGACCTATCTACTCTAGGTGATAAATGGTAGAGAATCAGTCATAGCACCTCGGCTGTTGTTAAGGAGGAGCCACCTCATCAGGGATTGTGGCGTTTACCCTCAATATTTATCCAGATAGGGGGAACTATACAAACAAGACATGACCTTTTTCCATTGTGTTGAGTCCTGTCTGAGAAACGAGCCACCTATTTCTCTTCAAACTGATTGTAAAACATTCTTTTTCACTTTTAATTCGAGGAAATTTGTAGACATAAGAATTTACGGTGGTGAAATTCCCTTTGCTGTAGTCACTTGCCTAATGACTCAGCACTATTTCCCTAAGGAGGAGGAGGAGGAGAAAAAAAGATTGATGACTAAACTACAACGGCAAACCAAGTGGGGTCAGTGATTAAAACAGGCTTTTCTGTGAGTTTGAATGCCTACCGCACCATTTTAAAAGAGCATCAAGCTTTCTTAGCAATGGCTAGTCTGAGTTTTACTTGTACTTTGTAGCATGGTCCATCTTTTGACGCCCACCATCTGACGTACGTAACACAACTTCACCAGCTTCCTGAACGCACGCACACGGAAATTGTACTTCCTCACGTACCGAGCCGTAAAATGACACTGCAAAGATGCTGCAGTCATATCCAGGAGCAAACATTTACAAGCTTAGCAAGGCTGCAAATTCCTTTTGTCGTTTGGTGTCTCTACCTTGACGCGCTGTTCTCTCATCGCGGGCGATTCTTTTTCTTTTCTTGACAGTTTTCGTTGCGCTGTCAACAGGTGTACAGTTACGTTTCTTGCCGGTCCTGGCTTGGCTTTTCGTAAGGTTTGCTGCCGTGTACTTTCAGCTTATCCATGGCTGCCGACACGGTCTACAAAAGGGAATAAAGAGACCAGGTCAATTTGCAACTTGCGTCTAAGAGAGTTTTTAATGAGTTATTTCCTTCCGGCGCTAACATTACAACACCGAACACGACAGCTAGTGCTTTCGTCCAGTTTGTAAAGGTTAAATAGTCAGGGGATTAGACCAGTGTAAATAAAGAATGCATTTGAAGTATGCATACTAATGTTATTATACGTATCATGTCTACTTCGACCTTGAACTAAATTGGAATTTTAATAAAAACCAAGGTTACGGTTAATGACGATGATACGCTAGGGGGGTACTCCCTTATGTGGGCTTCATAGGTATGTGCGGTCCCAAGGGTATAGCTTTTTAGCTGTTTTGGTCTGAAATAGGGAATCGTTTTTGGCCATTTTGGATATGGTTTGTGCACTCGTCTTGAATTGAGTATGTTTTTTAAATAACCTTCTCAAATTCTGTTTACGCCGACCGTGTACATGTGTAGGTGAGGTCTGAAAGAGGGTATTGGTCAGGCCTGAAAATAGAGAATGGAAAATTGCAGATTTGAGTCATAAATAGGGTAAGGGTTTCGGGAAGCGGGCAGCATACCCCTACCCCACCCCCCTCCCTGTGATACACTAAACAAAACGCAGACAATCACCTGAGTTACGCGTGTAGAAGACTTATCTCATCACGTGGCGTACACGGGTAAACGTCAACCGACAGTGAATTATGCCGGGACGAAAAAACCATATTACGCAAGACGTTAAAAGTGGTTTTATTTTTCAAGTGATACACGCCCGCGATTGTCGACTATCGGCGGGAAAAGCGATTAAAAACAGGCGCAAATCTGCATTAAAACGTCACAACGATGTTTATAATAGATAAAGTGGATTGTCATGTAAAGCCTTGCCAGTCCAAAGTCCTAAGGAAATGCGTATAGAGGTAATGCATCGGTAGAAATGGCTGTCATCAGGGCGATAGACTTCTTAAATTCTGTAAACGAGCGCAGGAAAATGATGGTCGAATATAACGGATAACGTGGTAAAATTTGACACCACAAGTAGGAATTGAACTAACTTAGCCGTGGAAAAAAAGATAAAAGGTTCCAGTGATACGAATATAACGAAAACAGATGTATGAAAAAAAATGGAAGAAAATTCTTCATTCAGTCATTCGCGCTAGACAGGACAAAGCCCGGGGGGACGGGGCAGAGGAAATCGATTAGTAGCCCAGCTAAGAAATTATAAATGAAATACTCTACCAGCGATTGGCATGAAGACAATATTCACACGTCTCTGCAACGAACTTTGTACATAGTAGCACGAATATTAAATTATTCGTCTCAACCAACGAACGATTGCGACATGTGGTGTAAAACGCCTCGTGCAACCTATCTGGCAAACCTTATGATCCGCTTAATTAAACCTTTTAAAAACATTATGTAACGGTTTCTCGCATAAGTTATGTAACTCTTCTCATGGACTATTATCGTCTTCCCGCGTGCAGAACACATAGCCCAGTGTAATGTACGCTTTCATGCCGCTCAGGCCGGCTCCGTCCAAACTACGCCGAAGTAATTTGAAAATGCAGCTTTATTTAGGCGTACCGTCCACACTAATCCCTCACGAAATCGGAGCTTTTCGAAAACGCTCTTCAAACCGGAGGAATTTGAAACCGCCGGCTTTTCATTTTCGTGTAGACGGAAAACATCTTGATAATGGACCTTTTCGAAAGCGATGGCATCACGATAATCATTTGATTTCCCTGACCAAGTTTTCCCCCGTTTTCCTCAAACACAAAACCAAACTGACCGCTGATTGTTGCGTTTTGAAATTCCTCCAGCGACGTGTCGACGGGCCCTGAAAAGCGTCGCTATGAACCAATGCCAGAGTGCTCCTTTTGGCCGTACTCTGCCACGTAAAAAAGAAAAATTCTGAATTGAAGAGAAAGTACAAAAAAGAAACCAGTTTACTCAAATTTTAATGCTGTAGACTTCTTAATGACCAGAAATTATCAACAGAAATATATTTAGAGGGTGTCATATTGTCGAACCGGCTTTTTGATCAGAACAGACAAGTCAAAATAATTTCCATATCGGTGGTCATTATATCGAAACTCTTTAAATATCGGCTTTAAATTTTTATGATACCTGAATATTTATAAATACTATAGTGTGCAAATATTGCTTCTGGAGAAAACGCGCCCAACAGGCTCGTCGCAAATCTAGAAACGTTCTGGACAAGTCCGAAACAATTCATAGGGTCAGGAATTTTGAATGACGAATTTTGATAACATCCCTTAAACCTGTTAGGCCCCATTTAAAGACTTCAAAGCTATCAAATAATTGTGATTTAATCATTTAATACGTTCCGGATATCAGGCATGACGGGTGAATAACTAAACAGGAAAAACCAAAAATGTCAGCCCACTGGAGATTCAAAATATATTTATTTAAAGTAACAAGATTAATCTAGATTACTAGTTATAGGTCTCGAAACATTTAGGAGGATTTAAAGCATGACCAATATAAAAGTATGTAAATTACTGTCGGGCCTTAGTTTCCGGAGACCAAAGCGCTCAGTTCTTAATAATACGGTCTTACATCTGTATGAGCGGAGAGCGCGCAGGTTGAATATATGGTGTGGAAAACACGCGAGTATACTAAAGCACGCGCGCGACGTGTGAGGATATCAATAGAACGAATGTTCGCTTCTCAGCCTTTTTGACTCGCACTAGTCTTACCTCGCGAGTCATTCTCTTAAATAAATCCTCGCACAGAGAGAGATTTTTGTCAGCAATTAAAGCAAACGACTTGGGGCCGTTAATCCCATACCTCACATCTTTCAACAGGGCATTCTTTGTACGATTACTGTACAAAATCTTCTTTTTCGACCCTCGTGCGTACAAGAACTTCCTAATTACAGAGCCTTTTCAATGTTTGCGGGAGATTTACAGTTTAAATGACGTGCTAAAGAGGAGTGAAGCTTATAGACATTCATATGATCTGGCTAATGAAAGAGAGAATCCACGAAATAAAAAGATATACGCCCTTTTAAGGGGATAAGGCACGGTATGCGTCCTAGAGTAGAACGGCTTACACTTTGACACCTCTTAAAACTGAAGGAAACTCGAAATAATAGTATAAATCTGTAGAAGGATGCAAACATTTGTAACAGGCCGAAAGGAAGACTTGACAAGATTCTAGCGGATTGCCAAGTTGAATTTCAACGAGAAAAAAAAAGCCATGAAACGTGACGCAACATTCTGAACTTAAAATGTCGCGCCGTAACGAGCGGTGAAATGGCACAGGTAGCCCACCCCCACACGGGCGAAGCGATCTTTAGTCTGTGTTTTGTCGTAAAAAAATTCAACTCACTGAATTTCCCATTGCCGGTATTTTTGCAGCAGCCGCGCCGGCTGTGTGAAAGTAGCTGGTTATGTGCGATTTTCGTCATGTTCCTGGCGAGACGGGCACATGTTTTACACTTGGATGAAAAATGACAATNCACAACCATCAATATTTTCGTTCTATTCACTATGAAAAACTAGTAAAAGCGGTTTTCGTTCAACTCTTACAGGACGGTTTTCATTTGTGAGTCGAAAAGTAATTGGTTTTGCATCAAGTACGCTAGACGATTGGTTCAAAAAACTCGCGCCAATTTTTAATCCAGTCAGAAATAAAACAAAAACCAATCTCGATTTACTCACACTCGTTTTCCCGCGCTTTGCGTCAGCCATATGTAATTACTTCGAGTTTTGATTGGTTCATTGTAAAGTCTATGTCTTTTGTGATTGGTTAGAGTGATTACTTTGGTTTTGGTTTTACGACACGCGATTGAAAACCGCTTTAAAACTATAACCAGATTGAGAACACGTGGTCGAATAAGTTCAGCCACTCATTGCATCCTCAAATTTCCCGATGAAACATTCAAAAGAATGAGAATTGACAGCCATCACGAGGCTGGAAAAGACGTGTGGGCAAGTCAGAATTGGTTTCGTCCATCTTCTACACCTGATTGGTTGGAGCACAAAAAGTTCACTAGATCTGAATGGCCAGCGGAACAATAAAACAGTTACAAACTGTTGACCGAGATTAAAAAAAAAAAAAGAAAAATTGATGAGAAAACGTAATAGTTTTCGAGATATCAATCGAATACCGCACTCTGTATGAAGCAGTCTGGGTCATTTCGTGCAGTCAATTCCCAGTCGATCTATTTCACAGCAAATGAAAGCCCCAACCACTGCCAATTGGATCATCTGTTGCTTTGTGTTCTGGACAACCATCGTGTAACTTACCTCCGTTCAAAAATCAAACTTGATGAATTTTCGGTCTTCTCTTTTAGCTTAATCCTCCTCTGCCTGTACAATGACTACTATGACTACTGATTGGTTCTAACTTATGATGTGTCTTTTGGAGGACAGACGTATAGATGAAGTCATTAACATTCTTTTTTTGTTTGTTTGTTTCTTTACGACGTAAAACAAGTACAGTTGAACCCCTATTAGGTGGCCACCTATTAAACAGCCACCTTCATTAGGCGTCCAGTGGTCAAAGTACCGATGAGGGTTTTTCTATTGTTTTTACCTCTATTAAGCTGCCAGCCCCCTTTAAGCGGCCACTACCCATTTCCCCGAGGGTGGCCGTTTAATAGGGTTGGAACTGTACATTCCATGTTTTCGTGCACCTGCTCAGTAATAGATCACAGGAAACGTCAAACTGTGGCAAGAACATCAGTTACACACTTGCCTGTCGCCTCGTGTGCCACGTTTTTGTTCTTACCACATTTTGACATCATCTGTGATCTATTACTGAACAGACGCTTGGCAACATGGAATGCATTTGCTAAATATAGCAATTCAACTTATAATGTTAGCACCTGTTAGTTCCTCCAACGAAGTACAATTCATCTTTCACTGGGTGGTAAATACAGTCAATGAAGTAATCAAGTCGGTCTTTACTCTGCAATAATTAAATACAAACCACACTCAAAACTGAGGACGCATGCGTCCTAGTCATACCTTGTTCTACCACAAGCAAGAACGAGAGACTCGTTCATCATATATAACATTTGCAACAATAAGCAAACAAGCTAGAGTGATAGCGTTGAAGCAAAATTAGCTTTACAACAGTACTATAAATTTAAATGCAGCCTCTCATCTCAGCAGTTACGATGAAATGTAGTTACATATTACATTTCTTTGCCATTTACGGATATGATATAGACTCTCATTGTGACCAGCTCACAACTGGCTTGAAAGCTCAGTTGGTAGAACAGTGCGCCACATTGCAAAGGTCATGGGTTTGAATCCTGTTCAAATTTTTCAGGCGTTATTTGCACCGGCATAAGCTGCACGCATAACTGTGATGGACTCTCATGTCTTTAAGAAATGTGGATGTCTGTCACATTTGAACCTACTTAAATGGCTTAGGTGTCACAAGTCTCATCTAACTTAGTGGTACAGTGTCTGACCAGTGTATGGAGGAATTCAGGGCTGTAGCCAGTATGAGGCAAACTAAGGCCTTTGCCTCGGCCATTTTTTTCGTTTTTTTTTTGAAGGGGGAAAGTAAAACACTGCTAACCTAGGAAGAGAATTTAACCATGGATATTGCATGGACAGGCATAATTTTTTTTCTGGCTACAGCCCTGGCATTGAGTTCAATTTCTGCAGGAGACCTCAAAATATGGTTGGCTAGATTGACTCACTAACTGATTAGCACCTTTCTCAAATTACAAACATATGCTTAACATACACACTTGTAATCACTTGTTGTTTTTATACCATTTGGCAAGTTACCCATTCACATTTAACTCACCCCATTTTCTTCCCTGGGGTTGGTAAAGTCAGTAGTCATTTTTCCCTAGTTATTTAAAGCAAAAGAAAAATGTTAGTGAGATACAATAATTTATAGTAATAGGCCGAAGGACATCAATAAAGAGGCAAGAGTGAACTAAAGACCAGACCATAGATGGTAAGATTAGTAAAGATTGAGACAGGGCTACAAACAATGAACTTGAAAAAGTTATGCAAAACGTTTCAAGATGCATCATTTATGATGTCACCCCTTTACAATACGTCAAACAAGGAGCTTAGGTCCAGTGACCTTGTTACACTTGTACATACTAGAGTTGTGCTGTCACTCACATGTTCTTATCTTACTTTGAATTGTGAAAGACACGGGAAAGCATAAGAATCTTACCTCAACAGTGTCCCACAGTTGAAGTGTCTCTATATGGGTCAGGCAATAGAGGTCAGTGGATGTTGGTCCAAAGAAGCCAATCTGATTCTGTATGGAAACGGTATAATATATTCATCAACAAGTAATTCAGGGATGTTGCTGGTTGATGGCTAATCTCACTGACTAAAAGACAACTTAACTGGCTGAAATTTCACGCAAAAATAAAGACTTAAGTAAACTTTGTAGCTGCCAAGGCCAGAAAAGCCAGCTGGGCTTGTCCACAAGCCAGCTTAGTTTTTTGTAGTTACATCCCCATAATTCTTGCCATTCTGCAGCAATGACAAAATTAATGGTACTGCAATATTTTATCATTTTCAAGGACTTTTCAAGGATATGGCAATTCTTCAATGACTTTCCATGGGAGAAGGGGGGGGGGGGTACCAGAAGGTTCTCTCCTGATTTATCGAGAGTGGAAAGGACAAGTTAACACATACCACAGAGGAACCTGTATTTAGCACAGAGTCCAAAGCATCATCTTCACTTCCTTTAGATACATCAAACAAACAAATCAAGCCATCCTGCAATTACAAATTCATTCGCAAAATACACAACTGTACAGTTTTTAACTTGTAGATGAAAATCTTAGGAACTGCTCAACCACATGGAAACTGCATAAATTGAATGGGAATCACACTTTTCTGAATTGGGATGCAAGTCCATTGCATTTACACCCCCCCCTGCAATTTTGGTGTGTTACCCTGACAGTGGACCTTCCTACTGAAACACCACACCACTCGATTCATAGTGCCAAATTTAGTATATCTGTGAAGTTTCATTGGAATTAGTTGCAAACTTGTAAAAAATGGGACCCCTAACTAGCCAATTATTACAAAGAAATGTATGCTAAGTTGGGGGTCCCATATTTTTATGACTTTGTGATGGACTCTTATGAAACTTTGTAGATTTACTAAATCCAGCATGATAAATTGAAATACAGAGGTAACTTTTTGTTTACAATAAATTATTTTGAAAAATCCAAAAAAATTGTTGATATTGCGTGATAGGACAGGGGGAGTAGGGGTCGAGTAGTTTGCTCAAGAACACAATGCAGTCACCACAATCAGAACTCAACCCAGACCACTTGAAACAGTTTCTGATTATTGTAGTGTAAGGATTCGTCTACTTCTTACAAAATACAATACATACAGTGGAACCAGAAGCCATTTGGTGAGTCTGAACAGGACTGAATCTTATCTAGATCAATTAAAGAGAAAATGACAATCCAATATTTAGTCTAAGTGCCGGGATCATTAAGTCAATAATGCACTGTCAAGTAGCAAGTTGACCTTTCCCTTTCATTGTAAAATGTGCAAAAATTACACTCAATGGTTTAACTCGCAAATATATGGTCAATGTACACATTAACTGAAAAAAAAATGCACATGATGCAAAGGTTATGACACTATTAACAATGAGCTCAAACTGACCAATTATTATAGTATGTACTACTCCTTGAACATTTTATATACATGTATGCAAAATTTAAAAATTCCAGTAATAAACTATCCAAATCTTAATTTGCCAAGATTATCTGGTGGTACATCTCCACCCTTCCTTAATAGAAGCCCTTTGGCTTTATTTAACATAAACACTGAAGAAAAATATAACTTTTTCCAAGTGCAACCCTCATTGTGATGTTCAATTGAGCATTCTTCCATGTGGACCCAATAGTTTTCAGACACAAATTCTTTTCTTAATAAAGACACTACTTTTTGAAATGTTCAAGTCCATGTGACAATAAGCACCCAACTCCCAACCCCTGAAAACAAGCTCATCAGGAAAGCCTTTAACTAGTACAAAATATTTAATCCCAGGACTGATTGTTGGAATGTAGTTTACTGTACATTACCTGTGTAATTTCACTGTGGTGTGAGTCTGTATATACTTCCATATGATTCTGTAAAAGTTTCTCTGTGCTAAGTTGTCTAACATCCCTAGAAACACATTCAGCGCAATTTGGTGTCTAGCCTGTGAACACAGATGGACTTTTTGAAAAACCAGTGGAGTGAAATAAGAGCCGGAAATCCATCTGTGTTCCCAGGCTAGTAGGTATCCAACTTGAAAAGAAATCTTGATTTGATCCTTCACATACAATTTCAAAATACTCTTAGGTGTTTGTACGTGTTAATTAAGGAGCAGCCACTGGATGGTGTAACTGATTGAATAGAATTTAACCAGACAAAAAAACTATTTCCCTCAGGGTCACGTAACTTGAATGGCTGCGAGCAGTGAGATCAGTCCACATACACAGAGTGATACTTAAGGTAAAGAATTTCAACTTCCTGTTGGGGGTAAAATTTTTCTTTGTCCCAAGTTTGTGATATATCCAGCATTATGTCTTAATTTGTCACTTGCTCACTGGGCCAAGCTGAAAAATTTAGATAACATTCTTTCAGCATTTACAATAAGGACACTTGAACCGTGAACACCTGACATTTTTTTGTTGACTATAGAATGAATGCTTGTTATGTAAGTCTCAATTAATAGGATAAACAATTTACAATGTAAAAATGCTAATTATTTTTGTTAATATGAAGATCCCTCATTCTGCGGTCACTGAACAAAAATTTAAAAAAGATGTCAAGTGTTTATGGCTGAAGTAAAAGGTGAAATCTGTATACGTGCCAAGTGGCTCATCAGGCCAGTGCTTCTATATTTCTGGCTTCTGTAGCATGAAGCAACTGGAAGTATTTCTACTCCCCCATGGATGGGATGCTAGTCCACTGCAGGGTTATTCCCAGCGTTAAATTTGCTGGTACCCAACACCTGGGTGGAGAGAGGCACTGTGAGAGCTAAGTATCTTGCCCAAAAACNCCAACACCTGGGTGGAGAGAGGCACTGTGAGAGCAAGTGTCTTGCCCAAAAACACAACACAATGTCCCTGGCCAGGGCTCGAACCTGGACCACTTGATGTGAAGTAAAGTGTACTAACTATGAGGCCACTGCCGCTCCGTCACTATAATATCAACCTCAACTTGTTGGTAATAGCATTTATTTTGTCGCTTAGAAAGTACAGTGTATGCACACTTTTAAAAAATGCTCAATTTTATGGGTATATTCTACATTATGGTCTGCTTCCAGTGTCCTTCACTTACCAGAGATAGAGACATACATCTTCACCATACGGCTCTGTAGCAGCTGCTATGATTTCATCATTACCATTCAAACCACAAGAGCTAAAAGAACAGTTGTTTGGGCCTGTGTAAAAAAGGAAGCATAATGCACACCAGTAAGCTTTCATAGAGTAAAAAGCAAAGAGTATTAAGAAAAGGGTAAAGTTTGCATAATTTCAAAACCTGAATTCATAAAGAATTTCAGTTTGCTGACAAAGAACTGAAACATACTCAAGATTCTGTGAACAGGTGATTTGAATGCTCTCCTTGAGTCCCAATAACTAAAACAAAACAAAAGAAAATAGAGCAGTTTTCACTTGAGTATCAAAAGTAATTAGCATACACTTTGGATTAATTTGCAAAGAAAAAGACTTGTGCTACTTTGCCACCCAGTCAGGAGTAAAACTAAAACCAATCATGACTCTCTCACATACCAAATTTATTCCAAAAGGTGTTGCAGCTTTTTTGAAATTTTTCATGCCTCAAATGCAACACTTATTTGAGGGCAGCACTTACTTGATGGCGGCACTTTTTTGATAGCGGCACTTATTTAAAAATTAGACGTGACTATCTCTATGAAAATTTAGAAGTGTCTTTTGATTGTCACCATTTGTCTCTTCTGGTTCTTTTCAATTGCTTTGCAAGTGGTGTCTTCACTCACTCTTCACTTCAATCTCACTTCCCCTTCTTGATCTGAGTCTGAGATCTTTGAACTGAAGAACATCACTTTTGATGAAAATTTCCAAATTTAATATGCTGTTTTAGAGTTGCTTTGTTAGAGTTTTTTAGTTGTATGGAATTCCTTGAATAAACACGTCTTAAATGAACTTGTTTGTTCCAAATGTGTCACTTATCCAAGGAGGTGCTTATTCAGGGATGACACTTCATCGAGTAAATATCAAAGGTTTTCTTGCACTTTCCATCAGCTACGTGGATTTGCTTGAGTCTTCATTGGTTCACTGGATTATCTTTGTCCTTTTTGACAGCCCACAGTGATTGCTTTCTTTATTCCAGTCACTGAGATGTGTATGAGAATTGAGCTCTGTTTTCTCACCCCCCAAAACACACATGAAATGATAAAGTGAGTGAATTATTAAGCAGAAGTATTTATGAGGCTGAGTCACTTAGTTAACAAGGTTGAAATTAATCCCATCTGGCAGGAGGCTAACCATCTCTATCATGAAAAAAATCCATCAACATGTACTTGATCAGAAAGGAACTTGAAACTACCTTAAGTTAAGATTTCAAGTCCAGCAGTGCAACCATTTGGCCATGCTGACTCACCAAATCTTTTCTTGATTTCAATGAGAATACATGCCATTAAAGATCAAATCAATCTATATTCACTCTATTCTTTCCCTTGCTGAACCTAAAAATCCCCACTGGCTCATTGGAAACAAACAGCCTCAATTTATAAAATAATGCTAGTTGCCTTATGATTGGGTAGTACCTGAATACTTTAAAAAATTCAACAATGCAAACCTCAGAGATGTATCAATTGACGTTGACCAGAAGCAATGCTGATTAGTGTGACAATACTCCAAACCTGTAATCTTTGCAGAATGAGCTATAAATTATGAAGAAAAAGTATAAACATCACCTTCATTGATGTTTTCAAAGAACTCAATCATGACATGAGTAGTAGTAACTTCCGCTCTTGGAATTAGACTAACTATATCAGTTCTTTTCTTTCAGTTCAAGTGCTGAAAATTGAATATTGCACCCTGTATCAGAGATGTCCTCCATATGCACAAAGTTGTTAACGTCAAATGGGATAACACAAATTTACCTTTAAAATCTCCAACGTAAAGCAGTGTATCCAGGTTAAAAAGCTTTATAGACCCCTGGGGACCTACAAGGTAGCATATTATATGTATACATCATATAAAGTAAGAATTCTTAAGGGTTGTCAACAGTAGCTGGTTG